ATTATTAGCTGAACTGAAATCTGTTACAATTTTATTAAAAACATAGCCACACAAAAAAAATATATTTTTCGGGTCTGGAGGTTACATTATGTCTACTATATGTTTTCGGGGTCGCTAAATCCGAATCCGTTTAACCCCATCACATCAGGTTTTACCAATAACGCCATATAACGTCATAACCGAAACCGTCAAGTCCTATTACACACAACGATCTTGTAAAAGGGAACTGTGCACCGGCAATAACCCTATAATACTATATATTCAACTTCAAACCCCCTAATCCCTAATCCCATTGTTACAGATTATAAATTCTGTACAGATGTACGGATTAACTCTTAAAAAATAAAAAGGTTCTTTTTTATTAAATCAACTTTTTTAATAGATGACAGATTAAATAACAACTTATTTTTTTTTGTTATAAAAACAGCATCAATCAGCCATCTTGACAAAACATAAAAATATACTTCATTTCTAGCACTCAAACACTCCTACTATTTGAATGTTTTGTTTCTTGAACTCCTATTAGTCTTCTAAATTTTTGGAACCTATCACGTGGTAAAGCCTTTGTCAATATATCTGCTTCTTCTTCTGTAGAAATATATTGCGGAAGTATTAATACCACTTTTTTCACGCACAAAATGATATTGTACATCAATGTGCTTTGTTCAGCGGTGGAATTCAGAATTTCGTACCGATCTGATTGCACTTTGGTTATCCATATGTAACACTGTTGGTTGTATTATTTGCTCACCAATGTCACGTAAAAATTCTTGTAACCAAATTACTTCTTTAGTGGCATGTGCAGCAGCCACATATTCAGACTCTGTAGTTGACAAACATACAGATGACCGTTTCCTACTTGCCCAAGTAATGGGACCGTTACATAGTTTAAAAATGTATCCTGTTGTCGACCTTCTGGTTTCTGCATCACGAGCAAAATCAGCGTCAGAGAAACTTGTCATAAACAGTTCGTTTTTATCTAGGTTTTTACCTTTACTATACTTTAAACCATAGTTTTGAATACCAGCTAGATATTTAATTATTCTTTTTACTGCTACTTCTCACTGCATTCGAAATGTCTGTTCTACTCATAACCGCTGCGAACATTAATGAACCTATTGCTTGTCTATATGGGATATCTCCATAATTTAATAAAGTGTCAACGGACAAATCAGTATGTGGATCAGCTGGGATACTGACGGGACAGCACAATCAAGTCCAAAACGTGAGATTATTTGTTTGATATAATGTTCCTAACTAATCGAAATCGAACCATCAGCTTTATCTTGTGAAATCTCTAACCCAACAAAATAGTTAACTTCACCTTCTGTAATTTCGAATTCTTTTAAAATGCCTAACAATTTCTGAATTGTTTTCATCTCCGAAGAAATCGCCAGCCCATCATCTACGTAGATGATTAGAAGCACTTTTACTCCGTTCAGATTTCCGCTATTTACACATTTATCGTTGCTTTGCTTTGGTTAAACCCGAAACTCTGTAGAAACATATTAAATTTCTTATTCCAACAGCGAGGTGACGCTTTGAGACCATAAAGAGATTTCCTTAGCTGGCATACTTGATCTGGTTCACTATTGACACCCTCTAGAACGTTCATAATATATCCTAATCTATATCACCATAGAGAAAAGCAGTCTTAACGTCAAATTGTCTCATCTTGTAATTATGGTAGGCTGTAACAGCTAGCAGTACTCTAATGGCGTCATATCTGGTAGTAGGGGCAAATATCTCATTGTAATTCGCTCATTTTTGTTGTAAATATCCGTTAAAACGAGATAGTGTTCCGTCTTGAGTTCTCTTAACCTTAAAAACCCATCTCGAGTCTATTAGTGATTTATTTTTAGGCAACTTTTGTAAGTTCCCAAGTCTGATTTTTATTTAATGCTCTAAGTTCTTCAGCTATTGCCTCATTCCATTGATTAGATTATTTGCATTCCAATGCCTCCTTGTAGCTTTGTGGTACATCAAGTTCTGCAAGATTTATTTCAAAATCCTCAAACCTTTTTGATATATGAATATTATGTTGCGGACGATTCTTCGAAATTTTATATTCATCAATAATATTTTCTTCGACAATATTCTCCTCTGAAATATGCATCTGATTTTCGCTTTCTTGTCGTCCGTTGTTATTCTCTTGTTCATATTCTTAGGGAAACAATTCATGACTTGCACTTATCTTCACACTATTTTCATGCTCACCGAAACCTTTAATAGTTTTATTAAATATAACATTTCAAGATATTACAATCATTTTAGTTTTTGGATCTAAAGAGTCGGTAGTTGTTTGATTCATTTTCGTAACCAACTAAAATCAATTTCTTGTTTTTCGCTTCTAGCTTCGTACGTTTCTGGTCTGGAACATGTACGTAAGCTTGACTTCCAAATGTCTTTATGTGTATTAACATCAGTTTCTTACCATGCCATTGCTCAAACGTTGTAGAATTTAGAGTTTGACTGGTTTGTGTATGATTCAAGATATATACAGCTGTACTGACAGCTTCTGCCCACAAATATTTTGGACTATTAGCTCCATTCATCATGGAACGAGCACTTTCTACGGTTGTTCTATTATCTCTCTGTACCATTTTGCTGTGGAGTAAAAGGTGCAGTTGTTTCCAATTCGATACCTGCTTTGCGCAAATAGTCTTTAAAGTCAGTGTTACAGTATTCGGCACCATTGTCTACATGGAATACTTTCATTGGTCGTCCAAATTTAATTTTTAATTTGCTACAAAATTCTTTACAGCAATCTAACACATCTGACTTTGTACTGAATCCTTGTACTGAAGGGCAGTTTCCACTCTTATAACATCCTTTTGTTTGAATGGCATTTTGTGTTGCTTGCCATACAAACAAGCTTCACAAAAGAAATTATCTATGTCATTAAAGTGAACATTATCTAACAGTTTTTTTGACACCATTTCCCGCAAACTTTTCACATTTAAATGTCCAAAGGCTTTTTTTCGCGAGTGAATATTGGTGAATACGTCTGACCTGTAGTTACTGTTTCTATCTCTTTTAATCTTATTTCTAACCTTGTCTAACCTGAACAGATGGCGAAAATGTATATATTCACTATTCAGTGATATGTAGTATGTACTTTGACGACTTTGACATATGGGTTTTAACTTCTAACCAGTAACCATAATTTGTCATCATTTATTGCTTCCAGTAATCTAGTGTTGTGGGAATTGGTGTTATATCTCACTATATAATATATGTATTTGCTTCAAATAAAACTGAAGGAATATATCAATGCTTTCTTTGGAATATTTTTAAGTGGCAAATTTAAAAAGCGTGAAAAGTATGTAGATTCTGACGTTGCAAGATATGCGAATATTCGACATAATCGTTATCGTAAGAGAATGGAAGGTTAGGTCGGTTTTTTATGTAATTCATACGAAAAAGACTTGAATTACAAATGATTCCACCAATATTATCTCTGGCCTAGGTCACAAAAAAAGAGGATAATCCTGAAGCAAAGTGGATTGCAAATATGTCCCATATAAAAAATTAATCTCACCATCAAGTAAAATATTTGCTGTTTCAACGTCTATGTTTACTAAAACATCTGTGCCTCTAAAGTTTAAATTTAAACTGGCCACTTCCACAACCATATCAGAATCCATCATTTTGCTGAACGATTTTTATACTCATTCAAACAAAATGTCAAAATGAAAAAGGCTAAGTTACCAGCTGACAATACTAGTTGAATATACCAACAGAATATTCAGCTGAAAGGTGAAGTCGAGTTCAGTCATTTGATCTAAACTTGTGACGTCACATAGTAGTTTAAATGACTGACTATTCTCGCAAAAACGTAATATTCACTCATACTACACATACTACAACATACGACTTCACTCGCGAAAAAAAGCCTCAAGTCTCTCGTGCCATGTTTTTAACGAGTTCATGATAACCGAGTTTCCTTCAATGGTTACCGAAACAGTAGTTTGTAAATGTTATTTCTATAACGACTCGCACTTGTGATAGAAAATAGTATGTGCAACTCGTTCGCCCCACATGGGCAACTGCACCTGCGTGGCGCTATTGGCAACTTTTCCTCACTCGTTACACAATGTACTATTATATCACGAACTGCACAGGCCGTAAGTCCAAAAGAATCATAAATTTTTGCGTCATTGTCTTTCTTCACGATTGTCATACCTTTTTAGTGACAATACCCTCAGAGAAAAGGTTTTTCTTTAAGTCCGGCACATACAACACTTCATTTATTGTGGCATCATACCACCGACTGTTTATTAACATTTCCACTTTTATTGTTCCTTTACCTTTGAAAGCTAGATTTTTATTGTTCCCTAGATCAACACTATTAAACTATTTACTTCTTCTATTGTGGCAAAGTAGTCACATGAGCTGAAACATCGCTGTCCAAAATCCACCTGTATCAGAATAATTTGCTGTCAACTCAATGTCATTCTGACTAGTTGACATTCCAGCCTCTTGCATGTAAATGGAATCTAACTTATCCATTATTTCTTTAGCCGATTTACAATTTTCAATTACCTAAGGTTATCTGTGATAACTCTATGGCAGCCGTTAGAGTAAACATTGCGTTTACATCTTTTTTATTCCATGTCTCTCCGGTTTCTTCTGTTTTTGCTTTATTGTCATCGACTACGTCAAAAATTCCTTTTGCCTTTAGGGCGCATTTGATTTGGAATTTCCACTGAGGATAATTGCCCTCATCAAACTGACCAAAAACGTTACACAAAAGTCTTTTTTTTAATTTTTCAAAATTATCAGTTTGTATGTAGATTAAGAGAGCACAGTAAAAATTGAAAAATTAAAGCTTCATATAACACATAACATAATGTAAAGGGCATTTTTTATAAAACATAATTACTCTTCACTTTTCTAATTACGTACAATGAAAAGTGAAGATTGAAAAATTTAAAAGTTCTTGCAAAAAAACAGGCGACAGATTTGGTTAAATAAGACTATAAGAAAAAATAACTTACCACTGCTGATGGATTGAAAACTATGTCTGCTCCATTCAAACCAAACATTAGCCAGCTCAAAGGATAATAACTTCCCAAGCAAACAGCAATATTCCCAAATTCAGTCTAAAAATAAAAGTACAAAAAATACTGAATAAATGCGAATAAGCGTTTTTCTCTCTTAAGATTCCAGTACCTAATGATCATAAAAGAATCAGCTAGTTTGCTTTATCGCTTGTCATGCGTACCTTTATTTTTTCTGCTTTTTGGCTAAAGCACAATACGAAATGAGATCATTACATAACATCTGTTTCACATGCTACAGCTTATTTATAGTCACGTAATTAGTTTTTCTATTTGAATAAATTGGCCACTTACTTTGTTATATTAGTAATATGAGTTTTAATTTTTTTCATTTTAATACGAATGCCTCGCGTTAACTAATATGGCCAAATACTGGTGAAACTTGATTTGCGAACGTTAATAATTGAATATATCGAATGTCCCAAAATTCACGTAAGATTTGAATTTTGCACCATTTGTGCGGTAGCCAACGTTGCCAATGAAAAAAAAGACAGTATGACGGCGTGCGGATTTTGGGTTGGAGGCATCATCAGACCATTCTTCTTCGAAAATGCAGCTGGTCAGGCAATAACAGTTAATGTTGCTACCACCACATATTAATCCGATTGTTTTTGCTTAAATTGCAAGTTACGGATGTAGAAGACATATGGTTTCAACAAAACGGTGCCACATGCCATGCAGCCCGAAAACAATTCAATTACTGCTCGAGTTCCCGTTTTAGTAAACGGAATCGGTGGCCCAGATCATGCGATTTAACGTCATTAAACGTTTTTCTTTGGGATTTTTAAGGTCTAAGGGCCAAATTCAGAGACTTCCCTAAATCTATACTAACCTTATGCTTCACTCAACTTAGGGTGCCCTTATCTCTTCCTCAATTGTGGTATTCAGAAATGTGTATAAATGAGTGACTAACTTGAGTGTGCATCAAACCACAAATTATTAGTATAGATAAGGGAACAGTTGGCTACTCAAATATTACCAAAAATATGTCAACAGTGGAAAACTAATGTCACAGTATTTTTTTTTTTTTGAATTTGAATAACTCACGTTGAAAAAATATATATAATAAATTACATTTATCTAAATAATAAATAATGAAAAACAAAATTAATTTATCCAAGTAAAAATGATCCTCATATAATAATAATAATCATATTTAGTTCATTTGCGTACTATGTACTTCATACAGAGTAGAATGAGTGACAAGCAATCATTTATGACATATGTAACTGCACTAATTTCTAACAAATAATTATAATTTATATAGCGTTCATGTAAAGAATATCCTTTGTATTTCTTCACGAATTCTCGCTTGAAATCACGACATTTCATGTAGGGCGTCCATCTGATCGTCTATGGGGGGTATCCAGGAAAATCAGCAGGGACTCCGTGGACGGCGATGACTTCCCGCGACATCGCGTTTCAATAGCGTCTCCGTTTGGGACTAGCACGCACTCGCGCACTGCGTCGTTCTCACCGCCGCCGCCGCACAGTGTTTCCTTTTCCAGATTTCGTGGCCAAAATCGAAGGTCGGCATTTCGATTTTTCATCATTGTAATGTTGTAAAGGGAGCTTTGGTGCGTCATAATCCAGAAGGACAGGTTCCTGGGTTTATTGCTTGAGGCAAGTGAACAAAGTTGAGGTTCGTGCAGCTTCACGTATAGCGCGCTTGCCGCTCTGCCGACATAGTTACATTGTGAAGTGAATATTTTTCCAACTAGTGAATTGTTTTTAAAAATTTCGTTTGGACGTTGTTCCTAAAGCTATGTAGATTACTTATTAACAATGAAATGATAAAGATTTGTTATTTTTAACTAATAAATGTGCATTAGAATGTAGTCCGGTAAAAGCGCATTGTTTCTGAGTTAGAAAAACTTTCGGACAGACGTTTAGTAAAAACTTCCGCCTCGAAATTGCATGGAGCATGAAGAGGAAGGAATAAGCTTTAAGCAGAGACCAAATTTGGCTGTTGAGAGGTGCTGTAGCACATTTCAGAGCCGTTAGAGCAAGGGTCGGCAACTGGCGGACCGCGGAAGGTAAAATACTGGACCGCCAAAAATTTTTTGAAAGTATAAATTACTCAAATAAATTATTTAAAAAATGTTTTTTACGTTTAAGTGCCAATCTTATCATTTTTTCAGTATTTTACAATTGTGTGAGCGTTTTGAGTTTTTAATTAGTAAGCAGATTAAATTCGAGTCCAAATTAAAATTAAAAAAATAAGAAATATGAATTTTTTTCTGGACCTCGTTAAAAATTTTCAAAAGTATCCGGACCGCACCTAAAATTACTTGCCGACCCCTGCGTTAGAGTTTGGCCGCGCGCTACGGAGAAATTCGGCGCTCGGCGATTTTGAGGGTTAGGGCTGGCCAGATATGAAGGAAAGGTTCATACCTGGCTTATCTAATGTGCATTTTCTTCTGAAAAATAATTTTAAAGAGTAATACTTAATAAATTGTTTTCCGAATGATTATGAATTTTAATTTAACATTGTGTTTCCCATTTTAGGAACACCATTAAATAAGGCTCCAGAAAATATAACTTCCTTATCAAGAAAATATATTTTAATGATTAAAAATCTCAGAAATTATTACAATTATTAATATCAGCAGAGTTATCCGATACGTCCTCAGATGATTGCGACTCGAAATATTCCGAAGAGCACTCTAGCAGTCACACTAGTTATTCATTTAATTAAATTTAATCAATGTATTTTAAAGAAAAGCCAATGAAATTTGTATGTTAAAGTGTGTATAAAATTTTTATTAAAATCTTAGCTGAGCGCTTTCGACTACATAGTCATCATTGGAGCTATTCCTAAAATATCAACAAGAGGTTAAAAAGATATTATATAAAGCAAAAAATTTTACTTACGTTTTTGCTTTATATAATGTCTTTTTAACCTCTTGTTGATATTTTAGGAATAGCTCCGATGATGACTATGTAGTCGAAAGCGCTCAGCTAAGATTTTAATAAACATTTTATACACACTGTAACATACAAATTTCTTTGGCTTTTCTTTAAATCACCGAAGTGTGTACTCAAGATACAGTCGTTATTATTCAATGTATTTTAGTTTATTGCACAGTAAAAATGTATTATTCAAAGAAAAAGTGAGTTATATCGTTATTCTTGCACAATCTATCCATTTTTTATATTATTTTTTTTAACCGCCATTTTGAGTTTCATTGTGAAAATAATAATTTATAAACAAGTGCATAACAAAAAATGGCGGCCAGTTTGGGTCAGCCATTTTGAACTTCAAAATAAATTGCATTTTCGAAATTAGCGACCCAAAAAACCCCTGGATACAAATTTTCAGCCCATTCCAATAACAAAAGGTATTTTTGGCCACGAAATCGGGAAAAGGAAACACTGTGCGCCGGCGCCGTCGAGCATGGTTTCTGTCAAAATCGGGAAAACAGTTCAAAATTGGAGTACAAATATCAATAAATGTTCATGCATGGTTCAATTACAACTTATTTGCCACTAATCTAGTTTCTATTAGATAATATCAAGTTCAAATTCGAGATTTAAAGTCCTATTTTGCTAAAAGTTCTGAGATTACAGTTACAAAGTCACTAATGTTAATCACTTTCACTCAATACACACTACAGTTTAATTACTGGATTTTTAAAAGTTAAGTTCCTTCGGCAAAAAAATTGTGGAAAATGCAGAATTTCTACTTATCGGGCTAGCTTACTGCGTTGGAATGTCTGCCCCGGCTTGCAGGACGTCGTTTTTAACGATTTTACTCAGCTTTAGTTCGTTTGTATTAGGTCTGCATAATTAGTTATTTTTCTTTCAGATTTGGATGAATTGATAACAATCAGTTCCACACAAGGTAAGTACAAGTATATTGAACAGTTTTGTGGTAAGTATTTACATTTTAATATGTTATACGGACAAAATATGTAAAAGGGTTTTCGAAAATGTCTGATTTTCGCGTTGAAAATTTGACGTTGACAATGAATTCTCGGCTGTGGCGATAATCACCAGTAATAAAAGGCAAGTATTTTTCGTTTTAGGAAGATAGATTTAAGTGTTTTCAAGATATTTTGTTAATGAAAATTTGTACGCGGACACGTGGCTTTCGAGATTCTGCTGGGGAGCGACGACACCTTTATCGGATTATTTGTAAAATATACTGCTACAATATTATGAAAACACAAAATGAATACATTACAAACATATAAGCAAACGTCAGATACCACTAATATGTACCGGTGTAAAATAAGCAGCCAAAGATAGCAGCCAAATTATCCGAACTTGGCCGATCCAAACATATGAGGAGTTGATTTTCAAAACGCAGTTCTCGACTTTGGTTTTCAAAACTCATTTCTTTCGTATTCAAAAAAGTTTTAAACAAAATACCACAAAAAATATTTTGTAATGTCAGGTGTTTAATACACTTAATTATTATTATCTTTATAGCACCAACAATTTTTCACATATGATTATTACGTAATAATCTCAAAATGTGTTATGTTTCAAAAACTGCGTTTTGAAAATCATCTCCTCATATGTCCAAGGAAGTAAGAATAATAAAAACACATGTTTTAGCAAAGTCTGAGATTTATGTTTAGACCAATTAAATCCAATTATTAAATATATGTAAGTAACCTGTTAAATATGTGAAATGACTACCACCCAAACAAATATAGAGCTATAAAATAAATAATAAAACATTAAAAATAAATTAACAGTCAAGTTTGAATGAAAACAAATAAATATATTATCAGTTATAATATCACAAGAGCATAGAAAATACTCGATTATACTTCCGAGTCACGAGACGTATTCTGCGAAACACCACGACAGCGTAGCTGGAGTGGTGTTTTAAGGATATACGTCCAGTGAGGAGGTTAGTATAATCGAATATTTTCGTTTGCTCGAGTGGTATTCGATACGATTACATAATGAATTAACTAACTTTATTGGTTACTAGTTCGATTACATAATGAATTAACTAACTTTATTGGTTACTAGTGAAATTAAAAGTACAATTATTATAATAAATATTTGTTGTATTATCGTTAGAA